CAGGGAAGCAGCTAGACATGGGTGAATGGGAATGTACAGGGACCTCACCTCTGTATGTTGCACTTTCTTGACATCTTTCTGACTGTTTTTATGCGTATGTTTGTGTGTCTGTGTGTTTGTTACTTGTGTATGTTTGCTCTTGGAGGCCAAAAGACGACAACGGATCCCCTGCAGCTGTAGTTACAAGGCAATTATGAGCCTCTCAATGTAGATAATTGTAGGCGGAGTTTTCCTGTGCCGTGACCACTTCCCAAATAAACTCATAGAGCTTAATATAAATTATAACTGCTGACTGATAGCTCAGGTTTGTTACTAGATAACTCTTACACTTAACCCATATTTCTTATCTACACTTTGACATGTGACTTGGTACCTTTTCTCAGTATGATATGCCCATCTCGCTTCTCTCTGCAACTGCCAGTGGCTCTCTGACTCTACCCTACTTCATCCCAGAATCCTCAGTTTGATGGTCCCACCTAACTTTATCCTGCCTTGCTATTGGCCAGTCAACTTGTATATTAAACCAATCATAGCGACACATATTCACACAGTGTTCAGAATGATTATACCATGGCAGGTAATGGGAATCAAACCCAGGTCCAAAACCAGAATTCCTAGTCCTGATCCATCCAGCAGTAGCCATCAAATGGGCTTTAATGGGAACATGCTGATAATTTAAGCAGTTAGGCCAGGCAAGGCTGAGGGACTGTGCGATTGGCCCCATTCTGAAGTCTCCTCCCTTCAGCAAGGAGAGTTGGCATCAGAACTTAAGTGCCTGGCTTTGGAGGAAGCAGTAAAAGTGGCCAACAGTGAGTATACCTAAGTCACCTGGATCTCATCACTTTGCCCCAGGAGATTTGAAGCCCTCAAATCTAGGGTTAGCAGGGCTGATCTGTGAGGTAGCCACTGGCTCTCCTCAGCTCACTTTGCTCACAGTGATGTGAGGTTGAAAATATGCTTCCTGTCCATGGGTTGCAGATGGGCTTCCAGACATGCATGCTCTATCTCTGATGTGTGTGTGTGTGTGTGTGTGTGTGTGTGTGTGTGTGTGTGTGTGTGTGTGTGTGTGTAGATGGTTATATGGTTCACAGACTCACTATGATTCAGGCCAGTCTTGTTAGTACTCCCCAAGGACCCTCTGTCCTCATGCCAGGTATTGCAGGCTGACCTAGAAGTGGGTGGGACCTAGAAGGATCAGGAGGCTTGAAGACAAACCTGGGGACTTCTCCCAGGGATAATTACTGTCCTAAAAGAGCTGGGAGATCAGGATATATAGACTAGACTGCTACAAGGGAAACTGTTGGAGCAACAGGTTTACACTTAACAATGTTGACACCTACAGACGTGTCTGTCCTCTTATAAGATGCCTCAGTTCACCTTCCCACCAATACATACATTCTTAAAGGTAAACCTGATTCTCCAGCCATTTCCCTTGTAGCAGTCTAATCTAAAGAAGAACTGCACTAATAGGACAGAGATGTATGCCAGAGGAAGAGTCTTTAAAGGGATGCACTTTAGTGAGGTAGATTGACAAATGGGGTTTACACCCATCTGCCAGTCAAAGGGCTGGCATCTTCCTCAGTTTTGCTGCCCTCTCCCTTCCTTAGCTTTGGCTAAAGCCAGGGTCACTGCTGACCTTTTCCCCAGTCTACCTGCCTCCATCAGTACCTCATCCAACAGCACTCACAGGCCCCTTAATCCCACTAGGCACTTGATTCTCACACATCTACTCATGGTTCCCTGTGGTTTCTAAGACTGGAAGCAAACTTGTGGTTTCCTGACCTGGCTCTTCCTTCCAGTGAACTTCCCTAGTCTTCAGTTTATTTCAGCAGTGATCTTTTCTTTACTGTTTCTCACTATGGGATCTCAAAACAACCTTTGAACTTGCTGAGTAGCTGAGAGTGACCTAGCCTCCTAATCATCCTGCCCCCACCTCCAAGTGCTGGATCACAGTCATATACCACCATGCCCAGCTCTACACCACAATATGTGTTTTCTTTCTTTCTTTTTCCAGATTTTCTTTTCTTTCTTTTTTATATTTTGAGACAGTGTCTCTTTTATCCCAGGCTGATCTTGAACTTGCTGTATGGCCATGGATGACTTTGCACTCCTGATCCTCCCATGCTAGGAGTACAGAAATTTACCATATACCTAGTTATATGGTGATGAGGATGGAACCCAGGGCCTTGTGGGTACTCAACAAGTACTGATAAAACTGAGCTGCATTCCCAGGCCATTCAGGTTTACTGTCTTATTGAAAAAGGAACTGGACTTTTGAGATGTAGTCAGGCTCAAGGGAAAGCAGCTGATGCAGGAGCACCAGCCCTGGTTCTTTTCTGGCACATGTCCTTGCTCCTTTGCCTGAGGAGTTGCCAATGACCCTCTGTTTCTTACATTATGCACATGTATGAGTCTGTCTTGATTTGAGATGTGGCTTATTTGGTTCTAATGTGTTATAAAACTTCTAGACAACATGGCCATTGGATCTATCAAGGAGAAACTGACAAGCTCTGAGTTTAGTACTGGCCTAGGATGGATCTGACTGCTAATACTGGGAATGAACTTCACCTGCTTGCCCAGTTCCTCTGTGGAAACCAGTGGCCTTAATCCCTTGGGTCTTAAAAAGGAGTATGTCTTTGAGATGCCTTACAGAAAATAAGTTAAGACAGCAAAAATGATCTAGTAAGATTTGAGGGACCAAGAAGTGGGCATTTGCTTCCAGGCAAAGAGGTGAGGGACTGTCCAAGTTTTTTCATTTGGTAGCATCAAAAGACCCAGGGACCAAGGGCTCAGGCTTCAATGGTCTGTCTATAGGCACTGACTGCACCCATGCATTCTGGCTAATGGGGTCACTCAACATCCTGCTAGGATGCAGACAATGGGGTTTATGCAATCATAACAGCAACAGAACTCTGATGTGGAAGCTTCAATGCCATGATGAGGCATCATTCCTGGCATGCAGAAGATTCAATCTGCCTGGTCTGCACTTGGTACAGTTTATGGGAGAACAGACTCTCGCTGACACGGTTAATTTAGTCTGGTCTTTGCCCCCTTCCTTCCCCTTTTAGTGTGCCTCTAACTTCCATGGAAATATGTCCAGGTCCTGCCAGCTGGCATCATTACTGAGCTGGTCAAAGCCTAGCCCTGAAGGGACCCAGACGGTGACAGACCCCAGGAAGGAAGGCTTTTCTGCCTTAACACAGCCAGGGCCTTGTTTTCTGCAATGCCCACACCCCTGAACCTCCCAGGCTTTCTTTAGGTCCAAAGGATCAGCTGTGGTTATTCAGGGAAACATCCAAATCCACAGTCTAGGCTTTTCCTTTTCCTCAGCTTTGAGACTCTCAGCATGGAGAACAGACCTAAAGCTGAGGAAGAGGAATGGTGCACTCTCTGCAAGCCAGGGAGGAGGTAAGGAGGGAGAACAGAGTACAAGGAACCTGCTGGTCCTGACCAGATTCTCTTCCTTGTCAGATGCTGAGGCAACTCCTTAGTACTGGGCTCCTGTGAGGAGACAGGATGAGGAGCTAACCCCAAATAGGGCTACAAATACCCACTTTTCCTCTACTGATTGGAGGACTCTGACTATCTTTCCTCCAGCAAACAGCTTGAAAGTCACCGTGACTTGGCTTATGTCCTGCTGCCCAATGATATTTCCTGACATTACAGCAGTCCAGAAAGGTAGAGACTTTTCACTCTCATCTTACAGATAATAAAACTGAGGCATCCTAGAGAGAATAACTGATTTGTGCAAGATCTGATAGGTACTAAGGTGTAAGAAAGATGGTTCAGTCCTAAAGCAGCTGGTTCCCTGAGTTCTTCCCTACCTCCAAGCCTCCTACCTACCCGCAAAGGTGTTTTGCCTGAGATGTGCTTCAATCCTAACCATCTCAATTCTACAGTGCTGGCTCAGCTCCATACTAGTCTCTAAGGCACTGTTGGAACTTCCTTGCTGCCAGCTCTCTTCCCCAGAGTCTTTCCATTAGCACTCTCTGTGGTCTGCCCTTAAAAAATGACTAGAACAGACAGTTCCTGACAGCCTACAAGTTCCATATTCTCCAGGTAAGCAGCCATGGCTATATGGGCAGGTGTGGCATTCAGCAGTGAAATCATTCAGAACTCTACTGACGCTTGTCATTCCTGATACCTGAAGGGAAATCTGTATGATCTTGGTGTGCTAGGATCACAAAGGGCCTCTATGAGTTCATTTTCTGTTATTATGATGTAGTATCTGAGGCTTGGTGCTTTAGAGAGGAAAGATACTCATTTAGTTCTGGAGACTCAAAGGCATGATTTTAGCAGTAGCTTAGCTCAGGTGAGGATCTCACAGCTGGTGGTATCACAGTGGCAGGCAGAAGAACCTGTGTGTCAGAGAGACAACTTACATGGTGAAATGGGAAGCCAGAGAGAAACTAGAGGTGGGCTAGACATGCTTCTGGGTATCAAACACTCATGAGAACTAACCAGGTTCTCCCAAGACATTAATTCTATCATACAACAGTTCTCCCAATGATCTAATTACCTTTCATCAAGCCTTACTTGGTGGGGGTGGGGGCCATGGGTGTGGATATGTGCATAGAGGGGGTTTAAGTATAGATGTACATGTGTATACATGTTCATATGCACATGTGGAAGTCAGAGGTCAATATCAGGTATCTTTATCACTGTTTGCCTTACTTTATGAAATAGGATCTCTCAGTAAACCTAGAGTTCACCAATTTGGCTAGACTGGCTGGCCAGCAAGCCTCAGGGATCCTGCTATCTTTGCCTTCCCAGTGCTAGGAATAAGGGTGTGTTACCAGGCCTAGCACAGAGTGAGCCATTTCCACACCCCCCAAACTTCACTTCTTAAAAGTCCTACAACCTCTTAATATTGCCATATGGGAACCAAGCTTCCAACACAAGAGCCCTTAGGGGACAAACCACATCCAAACTCTAGAGGTGACCCATAAGCCATTACAAATTCATGTATTGACAAATCTGTGTTTGTCTTTGTTCCCCAGGAGCCCACTGAATCCACTAGTAACAGAATTGAAAAATAAACATCATGAATGTCTCAGCATTAGGAGGTAATGGAAAAGGTGAGCCTGGGCTACATGTCTGCCTGAATTATCCCAGGCAAACCCCTAGAGGGAGATGAACATTGCCCAGGTGATGACCTCATAATAGGAGGGCTGGCAAGGGCTCTGGGATTAGGGGCTGGGGTTCCCCCTTTAAGGCTCTTAGGCTTGCCCCTACCAGGGAAACCTTTGTCATCTGGTGAAGAGGAGCGCAATAATGTCCTAAAACAAATGAAAGTACGAACTACACTGAAGGGTGACAAGAGCTGGATCATCAAGCATGAAGACTCAGAGGACCATACTATGTAAGTCCAAGAGGCAAGGCCAGAAGGGAAGGCAGCAAGCAACATTGGGGGTGGGGGCATGGGACCCAACCCTAGCTGGGGATACTGAGGACATTCCACCATTTAGACCTAGGTCAGGGTGTGTGTCCATTGGCCAGCCAGGTGTAATTAAAACCTGAACACAGCCACAGACGGGGTAGTCCTAGATACTAAGGCACGTGTTGTCACATACCTGTAAAGTGGGTCAGTAGAGGAGAAGGTAAGATGCAGTGGTGGTGCATACAGGCCAACTTTGGGATGGAGCCACAGGGTAACAGGTAGCAAGAAACATGGGAGCCAGTATGTTCAGGCCTTGTCTTTCCACAGACAGCTTCACTCTGGACAAAACCATACTACATCCTCATCAGTTGGAGAGGTCTCAAATGTCAGGTAAGAGGCGGTACCTAGCTGATTCTTAAATGGACTCCAGAGGCTTTTCTGCTGCAAGGAGGGGTGGATATCACATAGGAAACACAGAGGGAGCCTGAATTGAGTCATTTGGAATGCATGGAAAAGACAGGCTCTTTGGGTTTCCCTTTTAGTGTTCCTGCAACTTGGCCATCTCCAAGAAGCTGTTCCCTGATTTAAAATAAAAAAAAAAGGTCTGTAGGAATAAATGCTAGGGCTCTGTGGTACCTTTAGACCTAACCCCACTGTTCCAGCCCAGAGCACTCATATTGCTGAATAGGACTGTCTGCTGAGTCCTTGTCCTCTTGCCAACTCCTTGGAGGGGCCCTCATTGCCTTCCCTGAGCTCAAGATTACCCTCTCTCTCACTACTTCTAGCATGTTCTCACCAGTGCCCCCCAAGTCTTCTGAACCCCATCTGTTGTTGACAAATGGAAAGCCCCAGTACCTAGAAACTAATGTTTTCCAGCCAGTGACCAAGCCTGAGGAGTACCTTCTGGTTTCATACTTCCATCACCACTTGGGATGTGAGTGCCCTAAGGGCCAGAGGAGGAAACATTCTAGAGGAGTGGTAAGGGAAGGCCATAGGGCTTTACCTTCTATTCACTTTAGCCTCAGAATGAGGTCAGCCTGGGCTCTAACCAAGGGTCTTTCAGTCTGATCCAGGAGAGAACAAGAAGAGCTCTCTTTCAAGTGCCCCGGTGCCTGGAAGAGCAGAAACTTCTGGAACTTTGCAGTAAATGTTAAACCATACAGCAAGCCTGCCTGGCACCCTTTTGTAAGTCAGGGCTATGCTGGACATGGCTGTGGAGGAGTCAGCCATGGCAATGTGCCTGGGAGAGACTGAAGGAGAGATAGGTGGAGCAGAGTGGGCACCTGGCCACTATATTGGGACAAACTTGGCCATTATACTGGGACATCCATCAGCTGTAGTTGCGAACAGGAAGGAATAAAGTGTCCTGAGCTCTGTAGTGAGGCCATTGTTCCCTTTATGTCTCCTTTTCTCTTGGCAGGTCTCCAAACACAAAAGCTCCTGCTGGTTACATCATCCGGTAAGTGACCTCAAGACTCTACCTGCATTCTCATACCACTAGGGCCACACCTAGACTTCTCAATACCTTCTGGTGTCTCTTGTAGGGGAGTGTTCACCAGAACAATAGACAGCTCTTCTCACTACCAACAGCACCTGTCTAAGACCAATGGAGCGCCAAGAAGGTACATCCTTGGTGTGCTAGCCAGATGGTCAATAGGAAGGTGGGAAAGCCTTGTCCAGAGCCAAGTCCAAGAGAGGGATAGCAAAGAAGTAAGGGAATGTCCTGCCTGGCTCTGGCCACTGGCCATGGGCAGTGGCTGAGAGGGGAACTCTGGACAGAGATGTGGAACCTATACTTCCTAGTGCCCACATATCTTTACTTTACTTACTCTTTGTCCCCTTGGCCTCATGGCTGGCACCGTGCACTTACTGAGGGTATTGAAGCCATGTGCTTAGTTCACCTTCCTAGTATGCCAAGGTGGCATGTTACATAAACACCTTGGTATCAGTCACAACTGGGGCTCCATTTGGGAGGATACAAATGAGAGCCTGGTGGGCTGTTTCCTTGTGACTTAGCTGGGTCTGCCATGCTCAAAATGTCTGGCAGGGCTGACAACAAGGAAGAAAGTCTCCTAGTGGCTCATGTCCTGTCTCTATTGGGCTGTGTGGGTAAACTTAGAGACAAGAGGGGACCTATGGTTGGGCAGATGGAAATATCTTGCTCTTCTAGTGCTTCTGAACTGCTGGGAACAGCTAATTCTGGTCGTCCTCATCAGTCCTCTGGTTATAAGATGACCACAGAAGATTATAAGAAGCTGTGAGTATACAGTGATCCCAGACACTGGACCTATTGAGGGCAGGTGGACACGTACCTCTGAGCTAGTCACTTAGTTGGGGAAAGCTAGTCCTAGGTCTAGAGAATGGACAATGAGCCATGGCAATGGGGACTACTGCTCACTGTCTGTGTTTCCTAGATGTACCCCTGTACCCCTTCAGGTATCGGGTTCTCAGACTGAGCTGGGTTCAGATGAGCTGTCCTTGGGGGCATGATGTTGTCTCATGTTGTCACTGTCCCCATAGACTATTGGTGTGGACATTTTGTGTCTAAAGCTGAGCTTCTCTTGAGGTTCCTTCCAAGGGGCCCTGGCCAGGGAGGGAAATTCTGGACAAATGTCTGGATTGTGCCAGCACTTCCCAGGACTCTACATCTTTATACAGCTTATCCTTGCCCCATCGTTCTGTTTCATGGAACAGCTGGCATATATTTTTAGGGAAGTAGTAAGAGTGTTGGCTGTTGACGGACAGGACAGGAGAAAGGAGTGCTGGCTTTTAAGGAGGAACAAGTGGGAGCTAAGGCTCAAGGTTGCAACAGCAATGTGTGTTAGTGGCGTTGGCAGTCAAGAAGCCAAGGGGAGTAGCCTGTAACAGGGAACAGGAAGGACACAGAGGAAGAAAAGCCACACCTGCTCCTCTCCCCCACAGGGCACTGTACAATATCAGGAGCAGCTCCACATCAGGGACTGAGGAGGAGGAGGTGCCCTTCATCTCAGATGAACAGAAATGGCGGTAACGGTTTCTCTTATAGGCATACCCATGAGTAGGGCAGGGGCTAGAGTCTTCACAGACCGCTGAAAAGAATTATACCAGCCAGAGTACAAAATGCATTGCACATAAGCCCTGAGAACATGAGCCTCAGAGCACATAAGCCCTGAGAACACCCCATAGTGTGTAGGTACACTTGTCATTCCACAAGTTTATGAACTACCTCTCAGTGCTGGGCCAGCTCAGGAGAAACTTCTAAGAACCTTGTAGGGGTAGAATCTAGGAAACATGGGTCCATGGAAAAGGCTTATATGTAGATTCAAAATGTCCCAAGGAACTTGAATAATATTCAGGGTAAAGTGCCCTGGGAAAGACCATCTGCACCCTGCTGTGTCTGAGTGTGTTGTGTTTGCAATGTTCTTTGGGTGCAGGAATGGTCTCCAGAGTTTCAAATGCCCTGTGCTTACAAAGAAGGAGCCCAAATAAAGGCCAGTATCTGCCAACCCATATGTGGTTTAGGAAGCGTAGTGACAATCCCTTGCTGAAGGTCCCAAAAGGCCAACAGTTCTATGCAAAAAGACCACAGTTGCATGAGGCATGAAATCTGGATAGTGCAGAGCAGGGGAATGAATAAGAAGCTCTGGAGGTGCCTCACATTGAATGCTTAGGTGTGTTCACTTGGGCAAACCACCAGAGCAATGGTCAGGCTCAGTCAGTCATGGAATATATCAGCACGTGCTTGCCTGGTTGTGGGGGTCAATTAACCAATGTGAGAATGTCAGTATTCAGGGCAGGGCTGGGCACATGCTACATGCTCCCTAAGTAAGGGTCCTTCCTCAATGTCCATGGGTCCTCTGAATATTTCTTAGAGCAGTGCGACCCTGGCTTATCCTCCTCAATTCCCCGGGGATATTCCTGAGTCAGCCAGTGAATATCCAAGGCTAGATTGACAGTGGCTAGATTGACACCTATCAGATGCCCCCACTTTGTACTACCCCAGATCACAAGCTGCAAGTGGTGTTCTGAGGAAGACAGCCCCACGGGAGCACTCTTACGTCCTCTCAGCAGTTAAGAAGAACACTAGGTGAGTTGTCCAAGAATGAGGCCCAGTGGGCTTGAGCCTGCCTTGGCCACTACTGACTCCGTGATCTGGGGTCTTTCTCTTCTGCTTGGGGCTTCAGCTTTTCTTTGACTGGTGAAAGAATAAGGGCATTTGATCTTGACCTTCTCGGGGGTCTCAGATGCACTTCTTAGAATAAAAGCAGGAGGTACTGGGAATAGGAGAGGCTCTAAGATGGCACCTGCGCTTGAGCTTTTTCCAATATGTCTCCATTCTGCTTCATTTCTAGTAGTCCTACTCAAGAGGTGCAGGCCCCATTTATTGCAAAGAGGTAAGTATCACCAAGGGAAACCTCATGAGCCAGATGTTATCCAGGCAGCAAGCCTCCTGTCAGTAGGAGTATAGGGAAAAAGAAGGTTGCTTTCAGTGAGCAAAGAGAGTTGTCCTCCTCAATCATAGCAAGAATTCTCTTGCTCTTGCCCTGCTATGTGCTCTCCTGTCACCTCCTCAGGGACTGAGGAGGAGGAGGTGCCCTTCATCTCAGATGAACAGAAATGGCGGTAACGGTTTCTCTTATAGGCATACCCATGAGTAGGGCAGGGGCTAGAGTCTTCACAGACCGCTGAAAAGAATTATACCAGCCAGAGTACAAAATGCATTGCACATAAGCCCTGAGAACATGAGCCTCAGAGCACATAAGCCCTGAGAACACCCCATAGTGTGTAGGTACACTTGTCATTCCACAAGTTTATGAACTACCTCTCAGTGCTGGGCCAGCTCAGGAGAAACTTCTAAGAACCTTGTAGGGGTAGAATCTAGGAAACACGGGTCCATGGAAAAGGCTTATATGTAGATTCAAAATGTCCCAAGGAACTTGAATAACCAGAACCAGAACCAACAAGAGAAACTCCATGGGAGCTGGCTGTGATGATACTGATTGGTCTTATAGGGCAAACAGGATGAAAAGGAGAATGATCCATATGTCAGGAAACTAGTTGAGTGAGGTAAGTATTATTATTTGACATAGGTCAATTTCTATAGTAGGAAAATGTTGGATAGAGGATGGAGAAGAAACTTGTATGAAGCTGAATCTTAGGGACTGAGACTTTAGTTGAATGGATATCAAAGGCTTTCCAGAGCAGATGCAGAGACCCACAGCCAAGCACCAGGCCAAGCTTCAGGGAGTCCACTGGAAGAAACAGAAGAGAGTTCTATGAGCAAGGGGCATCAAGATCATGATGGGAAACCTACAGAGACAACCAAACCAAACTAGTGGGAACTCATGAACTTTAGATCAACACCTGTGGAGCCTCCATGGCACTGAATTAGGCCCTCTGCATAAGTGGACAGTTGTGTAGCTTGATCTGCTTAAGGGGCCTCCTGGCAGTGGGATCAGGATCTATCCCTGGTGCATGAGCTGGGTTTTTGGAGCCCATTCCCTATGGTGGGACACCTTGCACAGCCTTGATGCAGGGAGGAGGGGCTTGGACCTTCCTCTACTGAATGGACCAGGCTTTGCTGACTCCCCATGGGAGGCCTTACCTTGTTAGAGGAGGAAATAGGGAGTGGGAAGAGAGGGTGATCTGTGGTTGGTATGTAAACTGAATAAAAAAATGTCTTAATAAAGAAAAAAAGGCCTTCCAGATAAGGTGGCATACATAATAAGCTGTAGGTAGAAAGTCAACAAGGAACCAGCATTCCAAGTGTTCTAAGCCAAGAACTAGCCAGTGCAAAGGCCCAGAGTGGAAATACGGTGCTGTTGTTAAATGACAGTAGCTGACTAGAATACATTGAGCACTGAGGGGTGAGGGAGTGGCAGCACAGAGTAACAGAGAATAGTGTGTGCTTATTAGCTGTTACTAATGGAGCAAGATACCACCAGCAGAATAACTTAAAACCCCAGAAATGGAGGTCAGACATCTGAAATTGAGATGTTGGGAGGATTGGGACTAATTGTATTTGCCTCACCAGGCCACTATCTTCATTCACATTGACTTTGTGTCTGTGTCCAGATTTCCTTAGTCTCAGAAGGACATTGCCATTGGATTCAGGGCCTACCCTAATTTAGCGGAACCTCATCTTATACTGCTTACATCTCCTAAGAACCTATTTCCAAATGAAGTTCCATGGCTTCCCCGGGAATATTCAATGGCAATATCCTTCTCATCCTGAGCTGGAGTGGCCAAGGCTTCAGTCACCCACCTCATCTGGACACCGGTGAAAACACACCCTTCAAAGGCCAGGAAGCACCAAGGTAGGTAAGAAGACCACAGGTGCCACTTTTCTTGCCCACAGGGTTGATGTGGTTGATGAAGATGTGCCTCCTCAGAAAAAACAGGAGCCACCTGCTCTGGCAAGACCTGTTTCTGGCTTAAGCAGGTAATAGTCACTCCCCTTAGGCTGTGAGAGACTGACCACTGTAGCAGTGGCATCCCATTGTTAAGCTTGCTCCTGGTACTTCTCTAACTTGGCCAAGTTTACCCTACCTAGGAGACAGACCTGTTGTCTCCAGCACTTCTCACACCTGCCTTCTTTGCCAGTGTGGATGGAGGTAAAACCCAAGTGTCTCAAGCAATTCAAATTGAGTGCATGCCCAGTGTACCCAGCCCCTCTGGAAGTCAGGAACCCAGGTGGGTATCATGAACCAGCTCTGGACTATGAGATGGTAACATGGTTTCCCACTGGCCTGGCTGGCTGGGTTTGGCAACCAAGGAAGGTCTTGCAGTGAGGTGACAGTGCAGGGCCATCTAAGTTCTGCCCATCTCACTCCAGGTAGGGATATGCTTTGCCCCGATTTCCAAACCCTGAGCATCCCAACAGCTACAGGCACTCTCCTCTTCTTTGCAGATAACAAGCCCTCAATGCTTCCTTGTACTTTGCGTTGAATGCTGCTGAGTCTGGCAGAGGGTATAGCTTTCCTGTTGCTGTTTCTTTCAACCTGGATTGAGTCTTGGTTAAGGTCATAGTCTTCTAAGGGCTGTGTCTCCATGACACCCTGGAAAAACTCCTGAAGCCAGAAAGGAAAGGGGGTCTATTCTTTTTTTTTTTTTTTTTTTTTTTGGTTTTTCGAGACAGGGTTTCTCTGTGTAGCTTTGCACCTTTCCTGGAACTCACTTGGTAGCCCAGGCTGGCCTCGAACTCACAAAGATCCGCCTGCCTCTGCCTCCCGAGTGCTGGGATTAAAGGCGTGCGCCACCACCGCCCAGCGGGGGGTCTATTCTTATAAGTCAGTTCTATTAGCCAGGGTAGAGACTAAGGGACAGAGTTAAGCAACCAGATTAGCCTTCCATGGGCTGTGATCTAGGTTGGGGACTGCTTCCCATGTCCTGGTGGCATTTCTAATATGGTCAGCTTGACCATGTGAAAACTTCACCTCTACTTTAAGCCCATCTCACAGACACATCTGCTCAATGCTCATCTAGAAGCCCCTTTATTTTCTGAGAATGGCCTAGAGTCAGCTCTGAGTAGGAGACTGGCAATACCCTTTCACAGGCCTATGGATCAGTGGCTTGAGCTTAGCTATAGTACCAAGAAGTCTCAAAAACAAAGAGCAGATGAGGGCAAGGACAGGGAGGAAGATGGGTGTGAGTATCATACTTCAGGGAAGCACCAGATGGAGAATGCTCTTGGATGCTGACACAGAGGGAAAGAGGAAGCTTCTCTCCCAGAAATTCTCCAGTCTCTCCTTTGGCCCACAGCTTGAAAACTGAGGAGATTGTCCGTTTGCAGATCACGACCCCCAGAGCAGGACTCCACCTGGTGGCCTCAGATCTGGAAGCCCTGAGGTATTGGGGCCCCACTGCTGTCCTGCCTCCCTTTACACCTTTGTCAAGATGAGCAGAGAGGCAGGAAGCTAGCTCTACCACTATGGGGATGACTGGTTGGTAGGAGGTGTGGCCAGCCTGGATTCTCCATCACTGTCTCAATATTTTATTCAACAATAATTATGTAATGAGTATTTGGTTCTTATGAGGCCAAAGACCTGGCCCTGGGACCCAGTGATGACTGGAACTCCCTGGGCCAGAACTACTGACTCTGACAAAGGAGACAGATGCTAATACAGACAAGATCAACCTGCATTGCTGACCATAGCATATACACCCCAATGTCCTCAGAAAGTGTCAGGACTGGCCAACAGAGCTGAGTGGGGGTACTGGGTCTGTGTAGCCCTTTATTAAAATTAAATTATTATTTAATTGTCTTGTTTATAGGAGAAGGCATTAGGGTGGGGTTCTTGGGTCCATGGCTCATAATGCCTAGTGTCATGCTTGGGATGAAGGGGTTGCATCCATCAAGGAGCAAAAAGGTCCAAGTTCCTTTCCTGGGAGAAGCACTAGGTTAAACAGCCAGGAGATAGGCCAGCAGGATCAAAAACTAGAGGGCACACCACTTGGGCCTCCTGAGCATCAAGTGGCTGGCTCATCTGGAAAATGGGCATGGATAACAATACTACCCAGAGCTCCATCATTGATCATCTAACTTCTACCACCTTTCTTACTGTTTATTTCCCATGCTATCTTCCACATATCTGCCTGGGGACATTTGGAGGTCATTAGCTGAAGGGTGACAGTTGATGGCATGAAAGGAATGTGAGTAGCCTAGTAGGTAGTAGAGTATGTGGACAGGGAAGAATTTATGGGTTAGCCAGTCCATCATTAGCACATTTTCAGCTCCTAAGAGACAGCTGGCATTTAAGGATGAGGTAACTACCAGAGTGTGAGTGGTTGAGGAGTAATTAAGTCATTTCTTTCCTCTGCAGGTCTTCCCACAAAAACAATGAAGTATCATGCTCTGAAGAATTCAAAAGAGATTCAGCTTATGAGGATAAATTTAAGAATTGCAACACAGATTCTGAAAGGTAACTCACTGCAGGGAGTAGACTTTCCCCAGAATACAAAGCCCATGTGCACTCAACCAAAGGGCTTCCATGCGCCTGGGTCCAAAGTCAGTAGCTGAAGTACAGACCAGCACTATACTATTGCTGCATATCTGTAGAGGGAGAAGTAGAGAGAAAGAGGGGGTGGGACTATAGAGAGCAAAATTGTAATGTTTTCCCCATATATCAAATTGCAGGAGAGGACCAACTCCAGACCAGGCTATCTCTCTCACAGCCCTTTGTTACCCCGACCCATCTTTTCATTTGGGATCCCTAGACCCCTAGTGTGGACTGATCCCTGGGAATTAGGAAAGGGGGCCTTAGACGAATGGAGAATTGTGTTTTTTGTTTTTTTGTTTGTTTGTTTTGTCAGCCCTCTCTGGCTTACTAGCAGCCCCAAATTCCTTGTCTCTTGCTCTGTTGAACATTGGCCACCAATGTAGCTGCCTCCCACTGAGTTTCCAGCTTATTTTGTTTCCATTCATGTTCCCAACCCACTAAATTTGAATGAAACAGAAATACTTGCTGAGAGAGTCCACTTAGGCTTGGATTCCCTCTGATCAGAGCAATTTAGGGAGGCAACCAAAGACTTCTGCTCCCAAGCCATGAGACATACTCTTAAGACATCTAAATTACACAAGGTTGCAGCCTGATCAAAGTCAAAAAATGCTTCTCTTCCAATAGCAAATCAGCTGCACAGTTGAATGATGGCAATGAGCAACCAGGAGCCACAGAATCCCCACCACAAGGTTTGGCTGGAGCAGGCATTGGCACGGAGAAAAGAGGGTGAGATGCTAGTGGGAGACAGTTCTCTCAGATCCCTGGTGAGAGGCCAGGTTCAAGCAGCCAAACTCCTTGGGCTGCTGCAAGTGGGACTTCTCTCTACTGCGCCCCCCCCCCCCCGCACCCCCTTCCTTTGCTCTTGGCTTTTCTACTTGTTGTTGGATTTGCTTCCATTCCAGTCTAGCCACCCCCACACCTCTATCATTGACTCTCAAATTCCTGCAGAGCAAATACAAGCCCTAACTCACAGCTAAAGGCCCATCCCTCAGCAAGGACTGGCCTTGGGTAGAATGAATGTGTGAGGAAAATGGAAGAAACAAACTAATGAATGACCTAATAATGGAAGAATCAGCACCTTCTTACTTTGTGACTGAGCTCTGAAGACAAATTCAGGGGCCCTTGTCTCTTATTTCTCCCTTTCCAGAAGAGGAGGAAGCCCCTAAATCTCTAAATCAAATGTTTCTGAGAGTCAGTGAAAGAAGTAGATCAGTGAAACAATCTAGGAGATAAGAATGCCCTGGCTGAGTCATGAGCCACTCTTATCAGGTGATTTGAGGAGTAACATGGTTCTACCTATTCCCATGTGGTTCCAAACTAAATCCGAGTCATCTCTGGAGACAAAGGCTAGTTATGCAGACGTTGGCACAAATATTAGTACAGTTTCAGACTGTCATAGCAACCTTATGATTGGTCTGTCAAGGCCTGAAACTGCTGGAGGGTCGGCCCACCTCCACGACCTCCTGAAGTCTACCCAGAAGGATCCTGGGAAGATGCTCTTCTGGCTGCTTTCCCAACTGGTTCTCTCAGTAGGTTCATTTTCTCACTAACTTACCTAGTTGCAATAGGTACCTGGAAGTGGATACAGTAGGCCACACCTCTGAAATCTCTGTTTCTGAGCAGGTCTAGGAAAGGCCTTTGAGCCAGGGACTCAGTTCTTTTTGCCACTAATATATCATTTTGCTGTCTGTACAGGCATCAGAGCAATTTTCCCAAAATAAACCAGAATACATTTATCCCCTCTTTCAACTTCGCAGTGGCTCCCTACTTCCTTGAAATTAAGTCCAAACCCCTTTCCGTAGCTCACATAGTTCTGCATGGTAGTGGGGACTCCATATCCGTCCTTTACTTTCTCCTGTACCACAGTGGTGCAGACTGCTTCAGTGTGCTGTTGGCTACTGTAGAAAATATCTGAGCCAGTATGATTGGGTCTGTCTCTGGGTGGCTTCCTCTTTGACTGTTCATTGGAGTCATCCTTCCTGTTTATACACCCTCATAAAACAAATCCATTTCCTTAGAGTGAGACTAAACCTCAAAGCTGGTTTAGGACTTCTCTCTACTGCGCCCCCCTTCTATTTGCAAAATAGTATGAAGAATTTTCTAGATTTGTAGGGTGTTAGTGCAGTCTATCACAGTTGTCTTACTTATAATAGTTTGACTTTGTGTGTGTACAAGTATATGTGTGTCTATATGTATGCTCGTGTGTGCATGTGTGTGCAGGTCAGAGATCAACTTCTGGTGTTGTTCCTTAGGCACCATACACCATGTTTTTGGAGACAGAGTCTCATACCAGGACCTGAGACTTACCAATTAGCAAGCCCCAGGGGTCTGACTGTGCTGGGATCACAAATGCACACCACCACATCTGGCTTTTTGTTTTGCATATGAGTCCTGGGGGTTAAAGCCAGGTTCTTGGGCTTGCAAGACAAACTCTTCATCATCATTTAAGCCATCCCTTCCACCCAATTGTTTTTTGTTTGCTTCTTTGTTTTGTTTTTGTTTTCTTTC